TCTGGTTATTAAAGTCTGTTTATCTGGCCTTTGGATACAGGGGTCATATAGATGGCTTATTCAAGACATGAATAGAGATGGGATTTTTATACAATTATAGTTAGGCCTAGTGTGCTGGCAAATGCCTTTCATTCATCCCAGTGAGCTGGGAACTTCCAGCTCACTCCTGCATGATTCAGAAAGCCCCAGTTCTCTCTCCAAACCCCACCTTCTCAGAGAATCTCCAAGAAAGGAGAGCCACCAAAAGCCTAGTTCCAGCCGGAAGGTGGTGGTGTATGTCTTTAATCCTAGCACCCAGGAGGCTGAGCCAGCAGGATCTCTGTGAGTTTGAGGCCATCCAGGTCTACAAGAGCTAGTTCCAGGACAAACTCCAAAGCTACAGAGAAACCCCATCTCGAAAAACAAAACAAAATTTCGTGCTTTTGGCAGATGCAGCAACTCCTCTCCTGAAGTTGTCAGAAGTCCAAGACCCCGCCTAAAGAAGTCAGCTTTTGACAATAACCATACTTGGGCACAGACCCAGCTTGGGAGGACACACCATCACCCCTCATACACAGTATATAAGCTCCCTGCTTTAATTCGGGGGCATGACTTTTCCTGCCTGTTCTCCCACCTCCATCTCTGAGACTGGAGAACTCATTTGGGAGTTGCTTTGCTCAAAAACACAAAACAAAACAAAAAAAAAAAAAACTGTTCTTTTCCTTTTTTAAATTCTTCTTGATCTGGCTTGCTGCATCAGCGGGAAAACCTATTCACGTTTTACAGTGAGCCTATTACTCAGGACTTGGTAGACAAAGGCAGACAGATCTTCGTGAGTTTAGGACCACACTATCTACATAGCAAGGGCTACACAATGAGATCCTGTCTCAAAACAAGACCAAACAGAATGCAACTAAGGTTAAACAAGGTTAAAGGATGGGACCTGATTCTGCTGCGTGGCGTTTTAGTAGTCCCAAATGTTTCACAGCCCAGCTTATATGACCCAAGGATCTAAGATACCGAATATGCAGGCCATCAAAGATCATCCTGAGATGGTAGCTCCTAGTTTGTGGCTCACATCAGTTAAAAAAAGACTCAGAATTCCACGGGAGTAATCGCAATAGAAGCAGGCTTCATTAATATCCAGTGTTACTGAGGGAATACAAGAACTGAAAGAAAATGAGAGAGAAGAGATTCTAAGAGAGAAAAAAAGCCACAGAATTTCCTTTGTTTAGGAATTTGATAGGGCAATGGCAGAAACTAGACAGAGGATGAGGGAATCTCTATTGAAACGGCTCATTCGCTGAGCTATCAAGGACTGAGTGAGTAGAGGTCCTCCTCTCTCTGAGATGACCTGCCTTATTCATGTGCTGCCCACCCAGCTAGGGGGTTAAGCCCTCCCTGTGCACATTCTGACTCCATCCTTGCTAGTGAATGACTTTGATTGTCTGCGAGCTGTTAGTCATATGACTGGTGTTCACTCCCTCTGACCTTCCAGCTGTCTCAAGAGCAGTGAGTTATACTAAGATCTAGTTTACCTCACATTTACATGATCAGTTTGTAGCTTTGCCAGTCAGCAGGTTAACTCTGCCACAACCCCCAGGATATAGCTATGATGTATCCTGGTCACTTCATATTTAGTTTTTATATCTACATGGTGGTTTCAGGAGGTCTCCTTCCTGAAGCAGGTTTATGGAGCAGGCTTTTCTTGGGCCACAAACCATCTCCCAAATCATGACGCAGAGACTTAATGTTAATTATGAATGCCCAACCTCATCTTAAGCTTGTCCAACTAGCTCTTATAGCTTAAATTAACCTATTTCTCTTCATCTATGTTTTACCTCAGGATTTTTAACTCTTTCATTCATTTGTCCTACTTTTGTCTGATTGGCTAGATGCTGTCTGGCTGGCTAGCCCCAGGTGTCTCCTTCTCTCCTCCTCTTAAGCCTAATTCCTCCTTCTATTTATTCTCTCTGCCTGCCAGACCTGCGTATTCCTCTCCTGTGTAGCTACTGGCTGTTCAGCTATTCATTGGAGCAATCATGTGCCTTCGACAGAAAACAACACATCTTTACCTGATTAAAGAAGTGCAACATAGACAAACGTGACTCGTCTTTGCTTAGTTAAAATAACATTTCACAACAGATGCAGGCATGCTAGAAGCTATTTTTACCTAAAATTCAGTCAGTTACAAATAGCTGTATTAGAAGCAAAGATATATAAAAGGATCATAGAGCCTCAAGGATTTGGGAGAGCCACCTGTCCTGCCTTCAATGGCCCGAGTCTTGTCTTTCCTCTTATATGCCTGACTGGGCTATCTTACGCTCAGCTGCACATCTTTTTATTCATCCTTTTCAGTGTTCTGAGCTCTGTAGCTTTAATCTTCCATTCAGCTCTAGCATCCATTCTCACCAAAAACGAATGTGAGCAACTTGCAGTTACTAACAATGGGCCCTTTCCCCCTACTGCCTGCCCCATTTCTCCTGGAAGAGTGTCCTTAATAGAGAAAGAACCAAGACTCATGCACTCTTGCCCTCTCTGTTTCTGCCTTATGCGCCCCCACCATACATCAAAGGAAAGAGAGTACTATGGGACAGAATGCAAGGAAGAGTTTCTAACACTGAAGCCATCTTGCAAGTACATGGACCTTGGATTGCCAATCTCTAGAGCTGGTAGAAATGAAATGTTTTGTCTACAACCCAGACACCAAATCTGTGTGTTTGTTGTGTCTGTTGGGAAGACTAAAAGGCTACTCATTAAGCACTCTACTACATAATAAGGATAACGACTGAGTAAAATAGAGTCTTTTTCTCTTTAATTAGTATAAGTGAAGGAAAGAGAGGAAAAGAGATCTGATGCATACTACCAACAAAGCTGAGTAAGAAGATATCACGATAGCCTTGGGGAGGGCAGAGGAACACTGACTGAAATGCTTGGAAAGTCTTGACAACAGAGGCAATTTATAATGTTGAGTCTTTTAGAAAACAAGTTGGGAGAAAAAAAAGATATAGAATAGTTTTTAATTAAGACAGAAAAAATGAAAGAAGAGAATGTGGATAATTGCATTTATATATAAAAAGTAAAAAAAAAATCCATTAAAATTAAAACATGAACGGTACTGAGAGATGCAGGAAAGCACTGAGGCAGAGAAAGGCTACAGAAATTAATCGGCTGTATCACATCCAGGTCTTGCAAGGAAGTCCCCAGAGCTACATGAAAAATGTCAGGGACATCCATAGACATTTTCCTAAATCTCCGGTTGTTAAAAATAAGGAAATAAAACCTTCAAAACATGATGCATCGTGTATAAATTTTCCAGAAACAAATACATATTATAGAAAATTCCTTTCTGTTCATAAGAAAAGATTCCAAGTCACAGTTCATTTAATTAGGATAATTTTGTAAGTAGAATCAATTGGTCTGTCTGAGAAGGAAGTTATATCATGAATAAACTCAGTGTCTTTTCTTTCTTTTTTATTTAGAATATTTGTAGTACAGTCTTTTCTCATTTTACATAGATGTGCCTGTTCCCACTCCCTTCTCCCTTCCCTCCTCCAGCCCCACCTATCCACTCCTCAGAAAGAGTCAACAAAGTCTGACACTTCACTTCAAGGCAAGACCAAGGCCCTTCCCACTATATCTAGGCTAAGCAAGGTGTCTCTTCAAAGAGAATATGTTCCAAGATGTCTGTTCAAGCACTAGGGATAAATCTTGGTCCCACTGCCAGTGACCCCACAGACTGCCCGAATCTCACAACTGTCCCCCACATTCAATAGGCCTAGTTTGATCCTATACAGGTTCCCGGCTATCAGTCCAGATTCATTGAGCTCTCACTAGCTCAGGTTAGCTATTTCTTTGGGTATCCCCATTGTGGTTTTAACCCCTTTGCTCATATTATTGCTCCTCCCTCTCTTTGACTGGTCTCTGGAAGCTCGACCCAGTGATTCATTGTAGATCTCTGTATCTGCTTCCATCAGTTGTTGGGTGAAGGTTCTATGATGACAATTAAGGTAGTCATCAATCTGATTATAAGAAAAGGTCAGTTTAGGCATCCTCTTCAATGCTGTTTAGAGTTTTAGCTGGGGTTACTCTTGTGGATTCTTTGGAATTTCCCTAGGGCCTTGTTTCTCACTAGCCCTTTGATTGCTCCCTCAATCACTATATCTCTTTCCTTGCTCTCCCTGTCTGTCCTTCCCCTTTCTTGAGTATTCCATTCCTCATGTTCTCCTCCTCCCACCCCTTCTCCCTTCCTCCTTCCCTTCTACCCTCCCTTCTCACGCAGAGAACATGAGGTCGTTGTCATCATAACTTTGTTTATCGGATGAAATTGGCAATTCTCACCATTAGGATGCCCTAGATCTTATTTGGAAAAGAGGTACAGAGGGAGCTGCGCACTCCACACTGGAGCCCACTGAAGTTCCAGCTTTATGCTTTTGACAAAATACACATTAGTAAAATGAGTCATCAAAAGAATATGTGAGAGTTTTCAAGTGACAGTGGATTATTTGGGATATGACATCATGGCGAACCATCTGTAATGAATTTGCATTAAGTACAACCTACGAGATTTTCATTCTTATAGATCAATAGTACTAGAATGCAGAAGGAAGAAAGCTGGTCAGCGCATGCCTATGACACTCCAGAGACTCAGAGATGGCCCTAAGGAGACCTTGGTGCTTTCGCAAGAGTAGACAGAATACACAAACTATATTAGTCTCCATTTACACATTTGATGACAAAGATTTGAAGTACAGTTTACACATGAGGCTTTATCAAGAGGGAATGAAAAGACTGATAATTATTACATTAATAGAACAGGAGGCATTAAAAGAACCACCAGGCATGGTAGCTTATGACTATAACCCCAATCCTTGGAAGGCTGAGGCAAGGGGATCACTGGTGAATTCCAGGCCAGGCTAAACTAGACAGTGCAGTTCCTATGCAGCCTGAACCATATATAGCATGAGACCCTGTCTCAAATACCAAAACTAAAAAGAAAACAAAACTCCATAACACCCATAGAGAAGTCACCTGCTTTATTACATAGATGACAATTTTTACAAGGGCATAAGTTAGGTATCAGTGTACATAATTGGAAGACAAGGTATTCATGTCCAGATATTACTATCTTATGAAAAATGTATATGTATTCAATGTATAAAAGTTTTGAATGTTACTGATGTCAGGATCTGAGACTCACAAATAAAGCACAGAGAGTGACTCTTCTGACTTGAGTCAGTAATTCCCAAAATGATCGCTGAAGCACCGTGACATGATTTTTTTCCTATGAGATGACTGAAAATATTAGTGGCTGTGCTTCATGAAATGTTGTTTAAGACAATCATGATAGGAAACACTATCAAGATTCATAATTGCACAAATCTGTAGGGTCTTGCATTTTTCATCACAAGTCACACTGCTGTCAAAACTCACAAAGAAGTAATGGTAGTATTTCAGGAATTCTTTGCTGTCTATGGTAGCAAATTGTTTAGCCAATCCATGTAAGTTCCTCGGCTGTAGATCTGCAATGCCGTAGGCCTGAGTCAGTGTGTACTCCAAGGTCCAGTTGGATTCTCCTTTTAGGTTTGCTTCTGTTAAGTTCAAATAATACTGCAACATGTCCTATATTAAAGACAGTAACGACCCCAGATCAGAGAGGTTTAAATACACAGCCCAAATACATTTCTATAAGAACTTCACTTCAGTTTGGCAATGGTGATGCATGTCTTTAATCCCAGCACTTGGGAGGCAGAAGCAGGTGGATCTCTGTGAATTCAAGGTCAGCCTGTCTATAGGACAGCCAGGGCTACACAAATAGAAATACTGTTTAAACAAACAAACAAACAAACAAAGACCCACATACATACACATAAAAGATCTCAATACCAAACACTTCTATCACTTTATTTTAAATTTTAAAATACTGAAAGAACATAATAGTACATCATCTAGGTATACAGTGAGGTGTACAAAATAAAGAGACTTAAATTCTCAATTCTTAGAGATGACCACTCACAGTTTGTAGGTGGAATGTACCCTATTTCTGCCTCTGAGCTTTGATTAATTGTGCTACAGCAGCTGGTAAAAATCAGGTGGGTGCCAGAGGCAGCTGAGCCAGTCCCTGAACCCTGCCTGAGCGTCTCACATAGGCTGAGATGTCAGTTTGGGAGTTTGAAATTGTGATGTGTCCACTTTTCTGGGATGAATGGTGTGCATGACCATCCCAAAGAGAGCTGGTCAGCCCTTTTACACCAAACTGTTCTAAAGTACAGAGCCACAAACGTGAGCCAGAGAATTTTTGTGACAAAAATAAATGTTCAATTTGAGTTTTTCTTTTAAAAACTTAACTTTCACAAACCTTTACTGAGCACTGAATATGAGCTAAGCATTATTCTAAATGCCTTTATAGATTTCTTTTCATGGAACCATCTTAGGAACTCATGAGTTGTGTGCACGTGGCACACACAGGTATGTGCAGTATACATATATGCATTTTCTGTGTATGAATGTGCATGCATAGGTCCCAGTGCTGTGGAGGCCACAAGACAACAATGAATTGCTCAATTGCTCTCCATCTTGTTTCTTCTGAGACAGGGTCTGTTCACTGAACCTGGAGATCTCTTTATCAGCTAGAATGGATGGTGGTAAGCTTCAGGGACTCTCCTGTCTCCACACCACTGCACTGGGGATCCTGATGTGCAGAGCCATGCCTGGCATTTTATGTAACTACTGGGTTTCTGAACTTAGGTCCTTATGGCTACCCTGTGAGCACTTTATCCATGGAGCCATCTCCTCAGCCCTCCCAGTCATACCTCAATCCCCATTTTAAAGAGCAAGAAATTAGAACACAGAAGAACTTGGTAACAGCGGAAGACAGAACCAAAATCTGGGGCTTATATTTTTCCAAATAGTTGGGGTTTGAAGAAGAATAATTCATGTTTATTTTTAGGGAGGACAATAATATGCACCAACATGCACAAATAAGACTACATCCAGTGAAAATTTTTAAAAAGTGACAAGATTAGGCTTTGGGATGTAGCTCAGTTATTAAAGCGCCTACCTGCCTCACATATATGAGGTCCTGAGCTCAGTACCCAGCACCCCATAAGCCTGGGTATGGGAGCACACACCTGGGATCCAAGCTTTTGGGAGACAGAGGCAAGAGGATCAGAAGTCTTAAAAGTATAGCACATTTTAGGCCACCTTGTGCTACATAAAATCTAATCTTAAAACAAACATATCAAAAAGATCAGGAAGTCCTTAAAGAGATAGTAACCCCCCACAGGCTAACCTTACCTACCCACCCATAGAGATGACAACAGACAGATCATCTTTAAGTAAGTACACCATGAGATAGCAACATCAAGGGCTTGCTGAGAAACATTCTACTAAATGAATGAAACCTTCAGTGACCTATATAAATATATACATGTGTGGTCAACTGAACTGCTCCAACTTACCAGCAATGTATAATCACCAGGTTTGTACTGAAAGAGTCGGACACCAGGATTGTTTGTCTCTTTTTGTAAAACACCTTTCACTGGAGTAACAGCAGGTGCCACAAATGCTGAATTTATTGGACTTCCTGGACCAAAAATAAATCAGGTATATATTATAACATTTTAATTTAACTGCAAAAATATTAATAGCTTAGGTTAAGAGAACAATAGACAAATATTATATGGTCATTGATTAATCCTTTAATTATAATTGCCTCAAAACAATTAGTGTTCCCTTTGAGGAAATAAAGATATTTAATAACAAAACCAAAGAGCTATTACTGATTTTGTTAAGCAAATTAATATTATTATGGTTTTTTTATATGTAATGTATATTTTCTGACAATGAATATATAATTATACAGATTATAACTGACTTTATGTTTGAAAGTCACTTTTAAACAGATAAGTATATGGCAGAAAGATGAGAGATGAAAGACAGGTTATAGATGAGATAGATAAGTGATGATAGATAGATAGATAGATAGATAGATAGATAGATAGATAGATAGATAGCAGATAAATTAGATATAGATGATTGATACAGCCATAGATGACAGATAGATGATAGATTTTAGATAGACAGATAATTGACTGATTGACTGATTGATAGATAAATAGATGATAGTGATGACAAAGATAATAGAGGATGGATAGATGATAAATAAATACAGCAAGATTTTGACACATATTAAATACAAATGATGAGTAAACAGATTTGTTGATCATATTTTTAACCTTTATATATATTTGAAAATTTTTCACAAAAAACAAGTCTACCACAACTTACACATTTAAACCACAACAAAACAATCTGATTTTTATTACCATGCCTAAAGCAAAGTTTCAATAATTATATAATAATCTGATTGACACAAGCTAGCATTTCGGAGACAGAGGCAGGTCGATGTGAGTTTGAGGCTATCCTGGTTTACATAGTGAGTTTCAGGCCCACCAGAGCTCCACAGAGACTCTGTTAAAAAAAATCAAAATATTAACATATTTTATACATATCTACTATAATAACCACAAACCAGATTTATGTTTGGGCATAGAGGCATATGCCTTTAATCCAGCACTGGGGTAAGTAGAGGCAGGTTTATCCTTGTGAGTTCGAAACCAGCCTGGTGTACATAGTGAGTGCCAGGTCAGGCAGAGTGCCATAATGAATCTCTCTCTCAAAAAAAAATCATATTATGATCTAAAAAGATCAAACATCAATGTATTCATTTATATAAGATAATTTATTTCTAGATGAGAGATAAACATTTCAAAAATATTGTCAAAATATTGAAGAAAATGCAACTTATTTTCCTTTTATTTAAATAAATCAAACTCCTATTGTTTCTTGTTATAACTTCTCCTAGTGTTCCTTTCTTTTATTGTGAGAAACTGACAAGAGCAATTAAGAATGTGCTGAATATTTTAAGGCATTCTGTGAATTACGATCTGTCCTTTAAATCCTGGAAGAAAATAAACAAAGTCTTACAAAGAGAAATTTGAACCTAGCAGGTAAATAACAAACAGTATTAGTTCTGCAAACTAAGAGTCTAACAGAAACTTGAAGGGAGCTAAGGTTTCAGAGCCTCTGCGCGTATAACAAACAAGCAATACTGGCCCTACCCAGCTGACCAGAGCCAGAGCTTGTGGTGCAGAATTCTAGTCACGTGTCTAATCCTATTAGTTCGACACTCGGCCTATAACCATTCAAGATAAATAAGAAATGGCAAGGGACTTTGCTTTCAGACAAATCTTTAAATGCCCTAATCAGTGAGCACGCTGGTCAGGCACAGCTGTGCTCCAGGAAGGTGGACTGGGACCTGCATGCATGTCACATTCATTACCGTTTTTATCCGAGAGAACCATAAGGCTGTCTCTGTGGGTGTGGCCGTAGAACTGCCCCGCGATGACAGAGCTGTATTTTCTAAAAATCTCCACCAGTTTCTCGTTATAGTACTGCCTCACTGCTGGGGTAGCCGTTGCATAAGGAAGATAGCCCACTGGAACGTGCGCTATGATGTACACCTTGAAAAGGACATACGAGGGGGCACGTGACCGCATGTCTGAGCGTTTTCTCATTACTAAATAAATGGCAGCTGGATACTCATGACTGAACATAGAGTAATTAAAATTTAGAAAGCAAGTACACTTTCTCTCATGTTTCTGGGAAGAAAGGAAAGAGCTGTAATTACGCGATGATGCATTATGGCATGTGTCTCATTTATACTGTATGGATGATATAAAAATATTGATCTCAGAGAACTGAATTCTTAATACTTATATTAATTCCTGATTCTGCCCCAAGCTCAAGAAACAAATTTAGCCTTCGGTTAGCCCACTGCTAATTCTAGTCTTTAGGATCTACCTTCTCCTTATGCTGCAGAGAGCTGTTGAGGGTATTTTCCAGCCATTCAAACTGGTTTGCTGGGTCTGTCTTGTTCAGTGTCATGACATTTGGGCCATAGTAGAGGTTCGTGTTTAGGCTAATGATCCTCAAGTCTGGATTGCTGGTAACTTTCTGTGAGTAAAAGCCACCTGTGAAAACAAATGCAAAATACACTTTAGGAACACGAACACACAAACACGAAAATACTGGGAAAGTAGAGTCTGAAGGTCAACAATGTAGACTGGCATTCTCACTGGGTAAGAATCTAAGTTAGCAGTAACTGAAAAGGTACCATGTGTCAGGTCCAATGTGAAAGATTAGAAGGGAAGAGTAGTTGCATCCAAAAAGAATGTCTGGGCAGTGGGGAATGAAATTTAATTTTTTAAAAATAGTAATTTATATTACAGGAAACCACAACTGCTCAAAATGCAGAGTTGTGGAATTACGTCCCAACTGTCACATCCACAATACAGCTCCTGAACCTGAATTTCAGGGATCACTGCAGAAGACAGGGAAAAAAGATTGTAAGAGTCAGAGGATTGGAGAGATTGCATGTCCTAGAAATGTCAGAGAAGCTACAAGTGAAGTCTCACCAATATGGTTGCCTAAACATGATTTGGAAAAGGACACCAGTAGACATGCTAACATGGAAGGAGAAAAGATCACAGGCCTCACAGGCATCAGCCTTAGATAAAGAATTACAGGAAACTAAGGAATAATAAAAATGGGAGAAATAGTTTTTCCTGGGCAACAGCACACCAACTGGATATCCAATACCAAATGCTCAGCCTTGGAAATATACACACAAGTAACATTACACAGACTGAGCAGATTTTGTTTATGTAGTTAGGAAGTTATAGCTCCATCTATCTATCCACTCACTCACCCACCCATCTGTCTATATCTATCTATCTATCTATCTATCTATCTATCTATCTATCTATCTATGTTCTATCTATCTATCTACCTATGTTCTATCTATCTATGTTCTATCTATCTATCTATGTTCTATCTTCTACCTATCCATCCACATAAGTAACAACAAAGAAAATCCATGCATTTAAAGAGCAAGAGGGGAGAGAAAGATGCAAGAATTGGAAGGAGGAAAGGGAGAGAAGAAATTATGCAACTATATTTTAATCTCAAAAAATAAAAAATAACTTATGCACTACCTTCTAGTTTTAAATAATAGAACGTAAAGGATACTATGAGACATAAAATCTAAAGAATGAAAATGCACAGGACCCTGCTAGGCACTGCCAGAAAGAGAGCACATCAGACCCCACATGCCTCACCCCTGAACCAGTGGAGACATAGCAGAGGATCTTTTGGGGCATTAGGAGTGAGCCCCTCCATTCTGGTATCTGATTTCGTTGTCTTGTGCCAACTCACCAAATATCTATTTCCTTAGCTTTCAATGATGACTAATCACACATAGTCTCTTTAACTTCCATTTTCATCGTTATAGTCACAACGTATTATGATTTTCCCACAGTAATAGTAGTGTGTGTGTGTGTGTGTGTGTGTGTGTGTGTGTGTGTTGCATGGAGAGGCTGGAGGCCATCCTCTCTAGTATCATTTTTCAGATGCTATATACCTTATTGAAACAGGCCTCATTGGCCTGGCCCTCATTGACCTGGGCCTCACCAGACTAGGCTAAAGAAACACAGAGCCCCAGAGATCCACCCGTATTCACCTCCAAAAAAATTAAAAGAATTGAACTTTACATAGTTACAACATATAGTAAGTAGCAAGGGGTAAACATTCTGCTATAGTTTAGATATGAAATGTTCCCCAAGTTTATGTGTTGAAGGTTTGATCCCTGATGAAGGTCTTATAGAGAGCCTCTTAGATCACCAGGGGGCATGAGAATCACCCCACTGATGAGCTAAATAGGCTGCTGGAGGTATGGTCCAGTCAGCTACAGGCAGCAGAGCACAGGAGGAAGGTCTTCAGGGAATGTCTTACATCTGCTCACAGAAATTCTTGTGTTCTCTCTCATTCTCTTTATCCCTCCTTTTTTTCTTCCTTCCCTCCCTCTCTTTTTTCCATCCTTCCTCCTTCCTTCCCTCTGTAGCTCTCTCTTACCTCCCTTCACCTTTACTGGTAGCCATGAAGTAAGAACCTGTTGTCCACGATACCTATCTGCTATGCTCTCTTAGCCTCATCAAGGGCCTGAAGCCTTGGCACTAGAATACCATGAGCCAATGGACCTTTGAAAGCAGGAATTCAAATGAATCTTCTTCCCTCAAGATGTTTCCCTCGGGTATTTTTCAACAGGGCTGATATGCTTACTAAATACACATTGCCATTCCAAAAGAGGAATGGGAAAATAAGAAGGATGGCTCAGAGAAAAGCAGGATGACATCCAGCAGGATAAATATTAAATCTTAACTCTATGGCTGACATAGAAGCTGGCATGGCAGTGGGTTATCAGCTTCAATGGGGCAGCCCTATGGCCTTCCTGACTGCATGGGCTGGCTCTGCTTGTAATTACATCTTCCCTTGGAGGATGTTCCACATCCCTGGCATCTTTAAACTTCTGTGATCTCCACGCACCTTCACTCTACTTCACACATCATCAAATCATGCTCTGCCCAAGGGAGGAGAAGGAGAGACTACACCCAGGAGAACTCACCGTGCACTCTTCCTGCTACTTGCTATACACCTCAGAGCCCATCTGGAAACCTCAGGCTACCAGCTGTTCCCTCATAACCTTGTGCTTTTGAGGTAAAGGTATCTACTCTTTCCTCTCAATCCATTTTCCAATTAAAAACATACACATTTATTTATATTCACATTCAAAATTCAGCTTTTTCTTCATGTGGAACATCTTGGTTAAGGGTGGGACAGGAAGGCAAAAAGGTCCTCCATAAGGTAAACAGGTTTACATGTATTCTAAGGCCACATTGCTGTTTATTGTCTTTAGTATAATGCCGGCACAAGGACTATCTAGAATCGGAAGGCCTAAACAAAAGTTAAAGATTTAAGTCTAAACAAGTAATAAATAAAAGGAAGCAAAACAGTATTTCACTAACCTTTCCTTAATGTGCTAACGGCGTCTTCATCCAGCCACTGTTTCCAGAGGTCGGCTACAGCACTGTAGACCTTGCTGGTGGCTATTGGCAGCTGGTCCTGGCCACAAAGAAGACAAGCCGCGATTGAAACTTTAAAGATCTTTGGACTAACTAAGGGGAGCATTTCTTGAGTGCTGACTATGTTAGTTGTCTGTACACACTATGTTCTCAGTCTTTAAGGAATGCCTGTAACCTAGCCGAGAAAGGGTAGGCAAAAGGTGACACGCTAAGTGTAGGATGTTGCCAAGCGCTACCATAGAGTCATAGGAGAACAAAACAAGAACATTGTGCCAAGCAAGAAGCAAAGGTAGCTTTAGAGTAGGAATGGAGCAACAATTTCAAGTCGGCATTAAAGTAAAATGAATGGTCCAGACATAAACACAGCTCTACAGAAGTGTGTGCTATGTGTTGAGAGAAGCTCACGCTTAGGGCCTGGGCAGGGTTTAGATGGACCATGAGATAAAGAAGTACATTCCTGAGACAATGAAGGCAAGTTTGAGCCTGAACATGCAGGACTGGTGTAGCATGCTGTAGGATTAGAGGAAAGTTAATGACTTAAGATTTTAATGAAGTCATTTAGAATGCTATTACAAAGCCGCACAGTTCCTTCAAGATTCAGGCGTGTAACTTGCACTAGCCTCTTTGTGGCAGGCTAAGTTGCAACAACATATTGTGTTTTTTTTTTAAATTAAAACACATAAAAATTTAGTAGCTGAAAAGACAGCTCAGTAATTAAGAACATGTATTGCAGAGGGTTGAGTTTGGTCCTCAGCGGTGCTGGGTGGCTTACTCTGCCTGCAACACCAATCCCAAAGGATCTGATGTCGCTGGCTTATTGTAAGGAGAAAGTCACTTGTTGGTTCCTCACCAGACAGCTAACTTACACCTGAAATAATCACACAGAAACTGTATTAATTAAATCACTGCTTGGCCCATTAGCTCTAGCTTCTTATTGGCTAACTCTTACATATTAATTTAACCCATTTCTATTAATCTGTGTATCATCACCTGGCAGTGGCTTACCTGCATTGTTTTGATATGTCTGACTCTGGTGGCGGCTCCATGGCATATCTCTAACTCTGCCCTTCTTTCTCCCAGCATTCAGCTTAGTTTTCCCTGCCTACCTAAGTTTTGTCCTGCTATAGGTTCAAAGCAGTTTTTTTTTATTCATTAATGGTAACCACAGCACACAGAGTGGACTCCCAAATCACTGGCTTCTTTGGACATCTGCACCCATGTGCACATATAAACACACATACACACACACCACAGGGAGGAGACAAAGAGGGAGAGGAAGGGAGGAAAGGAGGAAGGAAGGAAGAAAGAGGGGAGGGGATAGTTAAAAATAAAATGTTTTCCTTTTGGACTGAGGTCTGACTACTGTAAAAAAAATAGCTATAATAAGAAGGGCCCTTACCTATGAGGTTGGCAGCACCAGTCTCAAATGTGTAGAAGTAAATAGAAACCCTGCTCTATACTGATTATTTGAGCAGTATGGGAAAGAATTCCAGGGTCAGTAACCTGCTTCTGATGAACAGGTGAAGTCCTTGCACATTTCTGTGTATGTTTATGGAGTTACCCTGCAGGTTTAAATTCTTTCAATGGAGAAATTCTAATCAAATTTTACACTAGAATTCTCTAAAACTATATCCCAGATAACAACAGTCTTTAGGGAAATTTGTTCTGAAATTTTCATGTTATATTTGATGTATATAACGTTACGATGTGTAAGAGTGTGAGGGAGCAGAAAAAGAGTTGGAGAGGGAAGAATAAATGATGGAAATGATAGAAATACAGTACTCATGTATGAAAGAGTCAAAAACACATTTTTACATTAAGAAAAGATCAGGAAGGCATGGTAGTGCACACCTTTAATCCCAGCATTAGGGAGGGAATCAGAGACAGGAAGAAAAAAGTAATAGAAAAAAATCACAAGGTAGAAACTGGAAATCAAGTTCAATGTGAGAGCACATGCTTTGCATGTGGGAGACCCTGGATTTAGCATGTGGGAGACCCTGTGGTTAGCATAAGGGAGATTTTGGGCTTAGCATGTGGGAGACCCTATGTTTAGCATGAGGGAGACCCTGGGTTTAGCATGAGGGAGACCCTGGGTTTAGCATGTGGGAGACCCTGAGATTAGCATTAGGGAGACCCTGGGTTTAGCATGTGGAAGATCCTGGATTCAATCTCCATCAGTATAACCCATAATCTAGAAATAGGAAGAAATGTAATTTGCATATATGCAGCCCAATTTACTTACAATTAGAACAATTATAGAAGTTAGTAATTATATCTTTGACTTGCTTTAATATTTGACTTGAAGAAAAACAAAGATGAAGATAAAATAAAGCAAAATCTCAAAGAAATCCAAAAGGAATTCATGATTTAATAACCAAAACTTCTCTTACTGAGGGCTTGGGAGTTGCCAGGAAATACATTACACCCTTTTCATATATTATGACTGATTTGCACAAAAGTTTTGCAAGGCAAATATTGTTACTCTTGTTGGTAAATGAGTGTCCTATGGAGGAGAAGCATGTGAATTATCCAAGGCTAACCAAAGTCTCTTAGCAGGGGAGGATAGAGCTGTAATTCTCATGAACAAATCTCTGTACAAATTGATCTCTTTTTTGTTTTGTTTTTTGGGGGGTTTTGTTTTTGTTTTTTGAGACAGGGTTTCTCTGTGTGTTGTGAGGAAGGCTGCTTGTTGGTTCCCAGCCACTAGCCCTGAAATAAGCACACAGAAACTGTATTAATTAAATCACTGCTTGTCCCATTAGCTCTAGCATCTTATTGGCTAACTCTTACATATTAATTTAACCCATTTATATTATTTGTGTCTCTCCACGTGGTTGTGGCTTACCGGCTAAAGTTTGGCTTACCAGCTAAAGGTCCAGCATCTATCTCCAGTGGGGCTACATGGCTTCTCTCTGACTCTGCCTCCTTTCTCCCTGCATTCAGTTTAGTTTTCCCAGGCTACCTAAGTTCTGCCCTATCAACAGGCCAAGGCAGTTTCTTTATTCACCACTGGTATTCACAACATACAGAGGGGAATCCCACATCATCTGTGTAGCTCTGGCTGTCCTGAAACTCGCTCTGTAAACCAGGCTGGGCTTGAACTCACAGAGATCCACCTGTACTGGGATTAAAGGTGAGCACCACCACTGTCCTGCTTGATTTTTACACAGCTGTAACAGGAAACTGCACCATGATAAAGTATGCACAGGCACCTTAACAAAGGGCTTCTGTGAGTGCTTGGAGTCAGGTCACATCAAGCATTTTGTCTTTAATCATATCTGAATCAGATAAGCTGGATTGGAACAGGGACCTTTGGCTATTTTAACAGTTTTTTTGTAGTTGTGTCCTTAATCTACCTTAAATCAGAATGTGCTGATCTTTGTATGTCTCGTGTAAGTGTAAACACTTGTCAATATTAACCTTGCTTGCTAAGTCTACCATAGAAATGGTAAATAAATAAGAAAACATACTGAAAGGACTGGGGAAATTTATGAAGTTTATAACAACAAAAATAGTATTAAAAATCCACAAACTATGAAATTTGCAACTAAAATATATTATTGGCATAAGATTTTATGAATTTTTTTAATCTTTGAAAATGCCCAAAACCTTCCTTGATAGTTATCACAGGAGTACTTCCTTGAGACCCATTCATATGCCCCACCCATGTCATAATTTTGACAGTAACAACAGGGAAATCATCTAAGCTCTTCTGGTAGCTGAGGTCAGTTTTACCTGTGGCCAGTAGTCATGATTCCCCAGTGCAGGAAACACCTGGAGGTTTGGAAAAAGGTTCTGTACTGTCATGGTCATGTTAGTGATCACCTTTATAACAGTGCCTGTTGAGAGCTCAGGTACGGGGACATGAGGCGGGCTATCCCTGAAAAGGACACAGAAACTTTGTAAAGACTTCCTAGACTTATGCATGGCAACTTGTTGTAGCTATCATTATAGATGTCTACTTTAAAATAACAAGTTAAAATTAAAGAGTCAAAGAATGGCCAATGGTTCAAAGGTGATGGCATACCCATAGTGCCAGCTATTCAGCAGACAAAAGTAAGGGATGAATTGAGCCCAGTATTTCAATATCAGCTTGAACACATAGCAATACACAACCTCTGAAGGGGGTAGGAGAGAGAGGTGAGATAAATACTCTTCATCTGCCAACAATTCTACAAATAGGGGAAAGGGGAATACAGGAAATTCTAGCTTATTTTATTGGCTGCCTGAAGATTTATAAGAAACCCCACGGGATTAGTAAGGTGTAGACTAAAGGACAAAAAGAATAGATTCAAATCTCTATTTTACCAGCAAGAAACTATATACATGTGGGCAAGCTGTGTAGAATCTCGGTGTCTTCATTTCCTTGCCTCTAACATGCAAATAATATGATCTATGGTCATACAGATTGTTAAGTAGCAGAACAGAAATCAATTAAAACAGGAACCCACATAAAGTCAATACCTTACAAGGATTAGCAATGCTTCATATTTCAGGAACTATACGACTCTCACCACAGTAGGATGTCTAAAATAGTTTTTATCACTAAGAATATTGATTATGTGGTCTAGTGATTTTTATATAACACACTTTATTAATTCTGAGAGTCTCACATATGCATACAATTTACTTTGGCCACAGTCACTCCCCATCCCCACTAACACATCCTAGATCAACACCCACCTTCCACTTCCTCCCCACTTCATGTCCCTCTTTTTGTTTTTTAACTCACTGAGTTCAGTTTGCACTGCCTATACACTCATAATCGTGTGACCATCCACTGGAGCATAAGACCTAGCATATTTTAACACAAGCAATTCTTTATGAATGTAGCACACTAATGAAGATTACCATATCCTGTAGGAAAATACTGCATAATTAAGAGTTTATATATGTATGTACTTACCCTGTCCATATCATGAAAGATGCTTCTTGTCCTGAATTCTTAATAAAATCAAATGCTGACAAAATGAGTTGATATGGAGAGTCACACAGGACATCTCCAAAAGGGCCAGGATTGGAGGCATTTGCACCTTTAGAGGAAGCACACACCTTGGTGTGGTCGTCTGTAATGTGGTAAGTAGGATCCAGATGCAAGTCAGTCACATGCCAAAACTGCCCTGTTGGTTAGAAAAGAAATACTGATAAATTTGTGCTTACAGTATGATTGAGACATCTGCTCCCCTCGCCACTGAAGGAAGCTGTCACAACTTCAGTCTTACACCATGAAGTGCAACTCTCTCCTATGAGACGAAGAAGCATCAAATAACAGAGGAACATACAACTTACCCAGGTGAACCAATGAGCTCAGAGTTAGCATGACTACTCAATAAAGACTCTAGTGCACAACAAAATGTTTGGTGGCAACTTTCTAAGAGGCCATCTCATACTCATCTCATACTGTGTATCAATAGTGTGTCTTCTTGCAGAATTTGAGATTTGGGGAATTATTTGCTTTACTCTTATAGAAAAACAATGACTTAAAACATTGTTGACTGTACTAGTAGATAAAGTGCAGAATCAGGAAATATTTACATCAGTTAATTTTTTTTTTTTTTTTTTTTTTTTTTTTTTTTTTTTTTTTTGTTTTTTTTTTTGTTTGTTTGTTTTTCGAGACAGGGTTTAACTGCACCTTTGGAGCCTGTCCTGGAACTAGCTCTTGTAAACCAGGCTGGCCTCAAACTCACAAAGATCACCTGCCTCTGCCTCCTGAGTGTTGGGATTAAAGGCATGTGCCACCACCGCCTGGCTCCACTTCAGTTAATTTTTACATAATTTCTTTCAGCATTAAAAAAAGACATAAATCTTTTTTAATAGTAGCCACGTGACAAACATCCAGTTTCTCAGATATTCTTTAAAGCTTTTAAAGCTAACTAATTAGAAATGCAACCATCATACAGTTGTGTGTTAATATTGTGGGAAGCAAATCTTCTTATTGGGCTCAGGTAAAAGCCAAATATTTATTTGACAGCAATCCTACTTGGAAATCATATTTGCTGCAGTTCATGGAAATCATGCAGTGAGATTTCAACTGGTAAAGCAGAGGTTTGACCCACCAGAATGAATGTGTTCTGATGGAGATCAACCCAGTTTGCAAGTATATCAGTTTATTTTTACAGTAGATCTTTTATGAAGCCATAAGCACTCTCCCTTGGTCCCAAATTCAGCAAAGTATGGATTATTGGGCACAATTCTTTCCTATGTACTGGCATATTGGGTCAACCACACACATACTCTAGGACCTCCAGTCAGAAATTTAGTCACGCAGTCAATAACCTTGGACCCCACAGTCTAATCTTTGCTTTGTTCCCTGAGATACTTTGGAAGGCACCTCCCGCTGATTATATTACATTTGGCAGGACATGCAGTCAGGAAAGGAGTCTTTCATATAGATCACATTTGGGGCCTTCAAAGATAAAGAGGAGTCCAAGCTCAGAGAATTGCCTTTGTTTTGTGTGCGTATATAAATTCGAAACTTCACAGAACAGGGAGACCAGCTGGGGAAGAATAAAAGAACTGATGCAGAAAAGTACATAATGGGGAGTTAATTTTGTCCTCCGATCTAAGTCCCATGCTCGCTCTAAGTCTTCTTCTGTGCCTTGAAAGGGACACTGAGGCTGGCAGTCAGAGGTCCCTAATACATATTAAGCAATATTACTTTATTGAAAGAATTATTAGAACAACCATAGTATCTTTCACTATGGATCTGTGTTATATGTCAGATGTGATTTATATGACAGATGGGGTATTACAAATTTTGTATATGTTGTATCATGTCATTCTCAAAAGGACTTTATGACGTTGACTTACCATTTTGAGTTTATAGTAGAGATACTAATGGTGAGTGTGGTATGAATGACAAATATCCCCCACAGGGTCAGGCATTTGAATATTTAGTCCCAAGCTGCTGTTAAGGGACCTTGAGGAGGTGTAGCCTTGGTGGTGGAAGTACGTCACAGTGGGAACTTCAAGTTCATAGCCTCACTATGCCTCTGCTTCCCAGTTGTGGTTGAAAATGTGATCATTGGGTTTCCTGATCCAGCTATGCCTTCATCCTGGAACTATAAACCCCAACAAACTCTTCCTGCTGTCTTCAGAGTGGCATTTTATTACAGCAACAAAAGCTAACTAATACACTGACTCAAGTGGAAAATTCAGTAAGTATACACAACATATATGACCCCTCACGTAAAGGATCCTATATGATGAAGAACCCTCAGGTTTTCTTACATATAATCAACCACTGTGCTGCGTTCTCACATGTAAGTAGCTTCTTCAACACTGAGATTTTTCCAGCTTTACTTACTAGTAATGATGCTTTTTACTTTTCTGAAAGTATAGGACCCTTTAGGGTGACAGAACTAAATTTTGGAATCACAGAAAAGAAACATTTTCTTTATTTTGTTTTAATTCCCATACAAATGTAGTGAGTATATTCTTTGCATTTTATTCAGCTTGTTCTCCTTAATTGCTTTACCAACTATGCTATGCAAACATACTTAAAAGAGTTTTGAACTCATTCTGATTCCAAGTTACATCTGAAATGCATTGGAAGGGCATAGAAAAGCAAGTAAAATAACTGCAAACTTTTTAAGCTGTGCAAAATTGATAAAAAAAAAAAACATAAGAAAAGGGAAGTGCAAACAGTTACAGTGGCGCTTTGACTATTGATCTGGGGTGTGCCTATGAAGAACTCTTGGGACTAGATGTAGAAAGACCCAGCCCACAATGGAGGGCACGAAGGCAGACAATCCTGGATTGTGGAAATGTGAAGAGAACTGGGCACAAGTAAGCATGCATCACTTCTTCACTATCTATTCCTGATGGTGGATGTGACCAGCTGCCTTAAATTCCTGTTCTGACTGCCCAACAACAATGGGGTAACCATTTGATTATAGCCACAGACATGAAATAAAGACAGCAGTGGACTTGCTAAGTAGCAATGACAAGTTATTGTTTTGGTGGTCAGTTCTTGCCAAAGTCCTCATAATTGTATAGCAAGGGTTTACATGTAAGAAGAAGAAGGCATGAACTCCAGATGAAACTTGACATGAAATATTATCCATCATCAATTACTCAACACTTAGTATTTTAAAACAGAAATTGAACATAATTTCTTTCTTCCCACAAAGCAGAAAATGCCCGAAACTTTATCTTGAGTTCAGATATACTCTATCCCAGCACACAAAACAAAGGAGACAAATGGATTGAAATTATCACGTGGGCTGCCCTTCTATCTCTTTTCTGTGTACACCTGTGTTTAGATTATTTGTAGAAAGTAAATATGCAGTAATTACACATAAAACAGAATAGTGTTTGACAGCAGAGACAGACAGCCTGACTTCCATTATAAACTCTACCGCCCAGAGATTCAATCTCTGTGATCTTGGTCTGTTTCATTTGTCAGATGGGAATGTAATGTTGTCCTCTAAGATAACAGGAAATTTAGCACTAGCAGAAAGCAAGTCCTTACATGACACCGAGCAAGCCACATGTTAGCTTTGCTATCATTATTTTATAAAGCCTGCCATATGAAATTTAATTTCCCCATTTGCTTGTATCCGTTCAAGTTCAAGTCCTTAGGACGTGTTTAGTACTTCTCTGTAGGCTTTTCTCCATTATTGCTATAGCAGACAGGGAACTGGAGTGCACGGGATTAAACCGAAGTCGAATATCAAGAAGAACAGGCCTGAGACACTGATTCGGGAATCTCACCGCAGAACACATGTGGTTTATAACCATTGTACACGGCCTCCCATATCCTTAGTCAAATGGGCTGCCTGACATGGAAGTAGATAATGCTGTCTACATGTAAAACACAGTGAAGATTAAAGTGAATGAGATCATAAACGGATTAAATTTTCATAATCCAAAACTTGAAATGGACTAGGGCACATCCCTCTGACAGAATCCAGTGCCTGGTTCACAGAGTTCCAAGAATGGGAATTTGTCTGACAGGTTGGGCCCTTAACAAAGAGGCTTTAATTTATAACTAATGACATTTAGGCAAAGGCAAATTTCAGGATTCCCTCCCTATCATGTGTGTAGTCAATGAGGGCTGAGCTAGAGCCAGTTTCTCCAGATGCCAAGGTCCTGTTTCTGCCATATCACACTACTGGACAGACAAATGTGGGGGCAATAGTTTCACTGAAGGATGGCTTTAATTGTGTCAGAACCTCTGGAGGATTTACATCCTAGCTTTAATGAAATTGTACATAAATTGTGTGTGTGTATGTGTATGTGTGTGTGTGTGTATGTGTTTCTACCAATCTGGTCTGTGATACATTCAGTAACACACCGGAGTCAAAATTTTTTAGCACACACTCCAAAGTTCTTTACCAAAATTGCCCACCCATTCTCCAGTTAATTTTTTCACAAAATATACGTGTTCCGTATATCTGGATAGAGAAATATTTGAAATTTTTCTAGACAGATGCTCAAAAATTTCACAAAAAAATTAAGTCAAAGAAAGTTTAACAATTTTTCCTAATAAACCCAATGAACCACAACTGTATGGACACAAGTTGTATGGACAACTGTATGTAGTTGTTTAAACAGATGTTGGTTAATCTGTTTATCATGTCAGTTGCTGTGGGCTAAATACACCAAAAGGTGGCAGTCTATTAAATCTTTAAAAAAAAAAAAAAAAATATAGAGAGAGAGTCAAGCAACACTAGGGTGGTTGTCTGTCCTCTAGCAACCTGAACTTGGCATGGGAGAAAACTGGGACTGGGAGTTTAAATACAGTTAGGAAACAAGCAGAAGCCTGGCAGGGTTGAAGTTGTGGGTGAGTGCAAGGGAGAAAAAGGGGATATCATGGAGTAAAATGATCCATGCATTGTGAAACCACTGAGTCAACCCATCTGGACTTTACAGTTAGCCTCTCTCCCTTCCCAGGCAATGGGAGGTGATTCAACCCTGTCACCTCTCCTACCAAAACAGGAAGCTAAATGAAGCCGATTCACATGACACCACCACCCCCCCACAGCAAGTTTGCACGAAGAATTTCAACAATTTAGCAATAACAATTAATGCTAAAAAAGGATTTTGCCTGTGGTGCAACCTGAGACTTTTTTAGGTCAAAATCCTGAACAGTCACAAATTTAAATAGCAAATTCCCGGTGCTGGGGTAGCTGTCTTACATACACAATTCCAGCAGAATATAAAAAAATAAAAATAAACACAAGGCAACAGTACGCATATATCCACATTTGGGGGTAGGGTGTTCTGTTATGATTGTTATTTGCCAGAGTTGGCTAACCAGATATGCAATTGTGGCTTGTAAAATTTTGGCAATAAGTCACGCGCACTTCTTGTTCAGGCAAAGAGACTGCATCCACCCCAGAATATCCCTATAGTCTTGTGCAGATAGACCAGCAGCTCAGAGAGACGAAAGAAAGGAGAATTTCAGTCCTCAGTACTGACGAATGTCTCCAGGACAGCTATCTCCTCAAATCAAAACAGAACCCCCGCTCTTAGCAACATCACTCCAGAGGCAGCAAATTATTTTTAAAGGAAGCTTAAAATAAGAGATGGGAGGGGGCCTTAGTTTTTGAAACTCAGAGGGCATCCTACAGTCTTACTAAACAATCGGTCAGAAGAGCGACCTCCAAGGACGATCAGAAGTGTTTAACTGGCCCCATTCCCACAAGTCTGGATTCAGTAATTTTGGAGTGAGGCTGAAATTAGTAGCATTTTACCAAGTTTTGAAGCTGTTGTTTTCTGCTCCTTCTGCTGGGGACTAGGGTACCGAGGCGGGCAGGGGGCGGGGCAGGCACCGGGTTAAATGTCAAAGAACTGAACTGTTCACCACTCAAAAACCTAAGTGCACCAAGGGATAAAGGAGGGCTCACGAGTTTTATTTATGAAAGGACAAGAAGCCCGGAGACCCGGAGAAACAGAAAAAGCCTCTGACTTCACTGAGAACAGGCAGAGGAACGCTTTGTTTAGGACCTAAATGTGGGAATTTTGTCTGTCCCCCTCGGTTCTGGGCACACTGGATGACTTAGGGAGCACCCACAGCAAGTCTTAGCTGCCTTTTCCATGGGACAGCAGCTTCGGCTGTCCATCCCCGGGAGCAAAACAACCCGGACCCAGGATGTAAACAAACGCCCAGCAGACTGTTGGATATGCTCGTCCACGGGGCTCCCCCAAGATGACCCGGTCCCAGCGACCTTGCTGTCTGGCCTTGGACCACATAGTAGCCAGCGTGGCCGCGTCCTATGCCCTGCCGCCCACGCACCGTCGGCGACTTGGCCGGTCCCTTCCACAGTCCCGTGTACAATCGCAATCCACTCACCCACAGCTGGAGCGCGACCGGAGGGCGCCAGGGGCACCCCGAGACCCGGGTCGCAGAGCCAGGCAGCCAGCAGGCAGCAGAGGAAGGTGGCCAGCAACGCCATGGCGAGCAGCGGCCACTGACCCGGGAGGCTAGGCTAGAGCTAAGGCGCCGCTGGGACCCACAGGCCCCGGGGGTGGGGAGGAAGCCAGAGTCGCTCCGGGTGTAGACGCCCAGATCACGTGCAAGGACAGATTTCCCCTGAACAGGAGATCTCCTGACCTTCTGGACTCTAGTTTTATTTTAATATGCCTCCTTATTTCCTAGGTCCCTGGGAAGGAATGTTCCTGTGCCAGCCCTATGCAAATTATCTTCCCTGAACACCAGGAACACCTACCTGACAGAGCCTCTTAGGGCAGGTGCAAGAAGGGGGCGGGGAAAACCCTGACGTGTGCTTAAGACATTTGAGTTGCTGAGTGGATCTGGATTTCCTCAGTATCTTCCCCAGCAAGGGAGTCGGGACTGAAATGAAAATTCCCAGGCCTTTGGCCGGCTCTGCTGAATCAATAACACTCCAGGAATGGAATCCAGCAGTGTGTTGGCTTCACTGGCCTCCAAGGTGATGGGGCAGGTGGAGTTTGCAAACCACGTCCCAATTTCACCAGGCCGAACGTTTTCCCCCCACAACTGAGTTACAGCATGCCCTTATGCAATATACCTGGTAAATACACAGAGACTGTTGATTTTACACTCCAAAGGAAGTTTTGGAAACTATTTTGGCAAACAAGCCAGAATGCCCACACTGTGTTTAACATGTGTTCTGTGTTCCTTCTCTTGGCGTGCGATCTCTTTCAAATAAAGCCAATGATTTTAGTTTATAAGGCGTGGGGTTTCTATGGTCATTGAGCGTACCTTTGAGAAACAATCGCCTCTTAAAAGATGTGAGCTGGAGCAGCTGGAGCACCTTGAAGCTGTGCTGTGTTAAGAGAGCCTCCAAAATACTACGCTTTAGCTGAGTTGGAGGGAACTTGCTGTGGGAAAATGGATATTTTAGGTGGAAAGCTGAACTTTATCAGGGATATCTTGGCCCCTTTAATAATCAGTTGCCTTAACCTGTGTACCTAGCATATCATTCTCATGACTAACAGAGTAACTTAGAATACATTACTAAGCTTAACTGCTCTTTAGATTCATCCAACCCTAAAATTAAGAATACTACATCTAAACTCTATAGATTGTCTACTTGGGTTTATATTTTTCTACTATGAACATAACTGGTAAAGGTATTGATTTATTACTTTCTCTGTTCTGTGGCTATACAATTTTCTATAACCTATTTCATGCTGGACCAATAATTTAGAGAAACTTAAATCTGTATTCCTGTCTGAGGATCGTGCATAGATCCAGAATACATTATTTTTATATTTCTTCAGGTAACTTTGCCAAAGTATTTTACAGATAAATTTTCCACCAGAGAAAACCTTATTTTATATCCTGCATGACCTAACGATTGTATCTCTTGAAAAGGATTTTTACGTGAACACGGACTCCCTTTTCAGATCCTGCCAGACTCCCCGCAGGCTTGCTTTAGCTTCCCTGTGTTCCCAGTGGTACAAAAACCACAGAAGCTGGGTGGTGGTGGCATTCGCCTTTAATCCCAGCACTCAGGAGGCAGAGACAGGCGGATCTCTGTGAGTTCAAGGCCAGTCTGGTCTACAAGAACTGGTTCCAGGACTGACTCCAAAGCTACAGAGAAAACATCGTAATTTCCAGTGGCAGTTTCTCAGTCTGCAATCTAAAGAATGTAGGACAATGAGGACTACTGAGAACTCAAGAGCAATGGCAATGGGTTTTTGATCCTACTGCACGTAATTGGCTTTGTGGGAGCCTAGGCAGTTTGGATGCTCACCTTACTAGACCTGGATGGAGGTGGGTGGTCCTTGGACTTCCCACAGGGCAGGGAACCCTGATAGCTCTTTGGGCTGACGAGGGAGGGGGACTTGACTAGGGGAGGGGAAGGGAAATGGAAGGCGGTGGCAGGGAGGAGGCAGAAATCATTCATAGATAAATAAATAAATAAATAAATAAATAAATAAATAAATAAATAAATGAAAAGAAACGAGAACCAGGAAAAGGATAGTGAGCCTGAGACGAAGAGCAAATTACTATTAGTAAGATAACATAAGTATGGCTGTTTTAACAGAAAATGAGCAGGTTATAACAATGTCAATTTTTGCTAATTCTTGTCAGAGCCCTACCAGACAGTTTATAGCCAATTAGAAGTTTTTTGTTTGTTTGTTTGTTTCTTTCTTTTTTCCAGCTGACTATAGGACTATACTCAGGTATACAGGACTTAAGTATATCCCAGAGCATTTAGAGCAAGACTCTTTTAAAGGCAAAAACCACAAACTGGTATCTCACTTTGCAGCTGCAGGGGCCAAGATGCCCCAGCTAATATAAGATAACTTAGCTGGGGCATCTTGGCCCCAGTTCCTAAAGTAGAGTTGGGTAATTTTCCACGGGATTCTCCATTAAGGAGATCAAATTCTAGTTAAACCTGAAGTGACTCTCTGTGCTATCTTACTCTGTCACGCGATTTTTCTTTGGTTTTGTTTTCAATTTCTAAGGCATATTACTGGAAGTAAATTGGTTGTGAAATAATTTTTCAGTTGAGCAAAATGCAAGCTAGGTGATGGTGGTGCATACCATTAATTCAAGCCCTCAGGAAGCAGTGGCAGGCTGATCTCTGTGAGCTGGAGGCCACCCTGGTCTATATAGTGAGTTCCAGGACAGTTAGAGCCAGGGCTCTTACATAGAAAACCCAGTCTCCTAAAATTTAAAAGAAGGAGGAAGAGAAGGAAGAGGAGGAGGAGAAGGAGGAGGAAGAAGAGGAGGAAAAGGAGGAGAAGGAGAAAGAAAAGAAGAAGAAGAAGAAGAAGAAGAAGAAGAAGAAGAAGAAGAAGAAGAAGAAGAAGAAGAAGAAGAAGAAGAAGAAGAAGAAGGAAATGCACACATATTGTGAAACCTTGAAATGCTTGAAATCCGAACATGCTAAAGTGTGAAATGAGTGATGGAAGCTCCAGCCTCCCATCTACTTCACCTTCTTTTGTTTTCCTTCCTACTCAGTGGGAAGCTCCAGGTGTCAGTGTCCCACATGTGAATGAATGTACAGGCAATGGAAGCCTGTATCTGTAGGTCTCCTGGCCCCAACATTCATTTTCATCTTGTTCTTCTGGAACAGGGAAAATGGACATAAAGACAATAAAGAAAATTCTGACTACTGACTCTCGGTGGTTGTTACAGTTTCATCTCTGCTGCTGATGAAATACTCAACCAAAAGAGTTCATGGAAGGTGTCTTAGTCTATGAGAGTGTTCTGTTGCTGTGGATAGACACTGTGACCACAACAAGTCTTAGAAAGCATTCAGTTGGAGCTAGCTTCCAGTTTCAGAGGTTTATTCCATTCTCATCAAGGTGGGGCAGATGGCAGCATGCAGGCAGGCATGGTGCTAAAGAAGTAGCTGAGAATTCACAACTCCATATGAAGGCAATAGGAAGAGAGCACCACTGGGCCCAGCTTGGGCTTTTGAAACCTCAAAACCTACTACCCAGAGACTTCCTCTAACAATATCACACCTCCCAATCCTTTCAAAGAGTGTCATTCCCTAAGCATTCTGAACCTATGGAGGGGGGGGGGTCATTCCTATTTAAACCACTACAGAAGAAAAAGGTTTCTTTTATAGACTACAATCCATCATGAAGGGATGTTTGAGCACAAACTCAAGATGGAGCTTGAAGCAGAAACTGAAGGAATGAGATTGGCTCTCCTATAGACTCATGCTTAGCTAGAGTCTTATAGATCCCTAAACCACTTGCCTATGGAATGGGGTCACCGACAGTGGACTAGGCTCTCCTCTGTCTGTTAACGATTAAGACCCGACATATATGTCTACAGGTCAATCTGACCTGGGCAGTCTCCACATTAAGATTCTTCTCAGGTGAACTTAAGCTATGTCAAATCGATAGCTAATGCTAACTAGTAGAGCGGTCTGTGACTGGATTTTATAGAACAGCTTTCAGGTTGGTTTGTATTTTTGAGAACTGGAAATTTCCAAAGTGGTGGTTCCTTAATCTCTTGGTCAAATTGCCCTTGGTCATGGTAAATATCCCCTTTTCTTTAGCAATATGTGTATGAGGAAGGGGGTGATGAAAAGTTAGTAGTATTACAGATTATTAAGGAAAATATAATTTGTTTTGAAAAAATTAGGTTCCAACTACTTATTAAAATTTAAGAAATAGAACTATCTATTAATACTATTTCTATAAATATATACATACTCTACCACTGCAGCTCTCAATTATTTTTATCCCATTGTGATGTCATTTCCCACTCGGACCCCCCCCCAAACACCTTTCTATTCTTTACTGTTTTGGAAATGAATACCAGTAGGCTGTGTTTTTGTTGTATTGCAATGATCTGAAGAGAAATCCCACCCTTAGTTCATCAGGCCAGAGTCCATGCTTCCAAAGCAAGTGTCTGCAGCGGAGACAAGGTCCTGTTCTTAATTTTTAAAAAGAGTGGACTTTGTAGGACCAATGACTTTAGTAGATAATCTTACTTTAACAGTAATATTTGTATATTTAAATGTTCATTTTGTATTTTTGTGTGCTATATTAAAGTGCATGTTGAGTGGCTAGAGAGATAGCTCAATGTTTAAGGGCACTTATACTCTTTCAGAGAACCAGAGTTTCATTCCCAATGCTCAAGACTGGTGGCTCACAACCACTCTAGCTCCAAGATATCCGACACACTCTTCTGGCCTCCGTGGGCACCCATGTGCTCTTACATGCAGGCACTCACACAAATACACACAAATATGTGCAATACACACACTCAGATTTATAGTATTCTAAAGTGCACATTAAGTACCTTTAATATAGAAATTGGAAATTTCTCCGAAGTCCTCAACTGACGTGACACAAAGGGGCAATTCAATTCCAAACTTTACTTGCAGATTCTAGCCAAAATTCAAGTGCATTGTAATATTTTACAAAATTGCTTCCAAGTATGTGAAAATGGTGTAAATGAAACATAAATGAATTTTGTGTTTAGATCATATTTCTAAGATACTTTGTTATGTACATGTATATCCAATAATGCAAAACCCTTTTGGTCCCAAGTATTTTGGGTAAGGAACATTGAGCCTGTCACATAGCAATCAGGTAGCAGCATCATTGTAGTGAACTACATAAATTATAGGATAATTTCTCACATTTTATATTTTGACCTTGAGATCACTTATAAAAATGTAAGGAAACCACAAGGTTGCATTAACTGAGCATTATTTATTTCC